ATTAGGCCCGGTAGGGACCGGTTAAGGCCCGGCCCGGGACCGAATTTTGGCCACCTCTACTCACGAGTTTGTAACATTATTGGGTTCTTATTTGATTTAGCCCCCCACCACACACACACACACATATATATATATAGATATATATATACTAAAAGGGTACTCGCGCAATGTAGCGAGATATATCTCGATTTTAGTGTTTCGTTTTATTTCGTCTCTGTAGATGTTTTTGTGTAATTTCTTTAACTCAAATTTTTTATTATAATTTCATTTAGATTTAGTAACGAAGTAATAATATAATTTTTTATAAAGATAATAATTAAGTAGTTTGTTAGAACTCAATGATTATCTAATTACATTTTAAAATTTTTTATATGTAAAATGAGATATTTATCCAATATTTGATTATGTTTATCTGTAGTTAGTTACACAAATTTAAACATGAAGCTTTAATAAGTTGTACTTATGCACAATTTACTTGTAATCTTGAATTTTAAGTAATATGCATCAATAAACGGTATTTCATGCTTAAAAGATGGTTTTTAAGAGTTTTTGTCAAATGTTTTATAATATAGTATAGATTATTGGTTCTTCGGTTATTTTTTCCAGGGTTCTTCTTGGATCTTTTCGCTATATGGGATAAAATCGGGAAAGAACCCTGAAAAATAAAGAACCAAAAACCTCATACAAACCGTTAAATTGAGATTTCGAACGGATGAAAAATTCTATGAACCAATACTGCCACACATTTTTAACTTCTATAATTATCTAATTAATTGTACTAATTACCTTGTCACCCATTTCCTAAAAAATACACTTTTTCCCATTTGAAATCACTTGATAGATGTAATGTTTCTTTGGTAAAACGATATCATACTGAAAAGAGATCAATCTCATGGGTTGTTTTTTTGGTGAAACAACATTGTGTTATCAAAATGGATAAACCCAGTTTGTTGTTTTATTGACAAAAAAAGGTTGTATTATTAAAACATATAAACAAACATCAATCTATGTGTTGTTTCATCGGTGAAATAAAGTTGTTGTTTCCAAACATGTAATAACTCGTTATTGCGCATTATGACTTCAAGGATTGGTTCGCCGTCACGTTAAACTCTATGCCTCTGCTCTAAGGTTTGGCTTGGATTGTAACGTGTTATGGCACGTGGTACAACACGCTATGACACATAACGATGCGTTATTTTAAACGGATAAATGATAATTATATACGAGACATAAGACTTAAATCAACATAAAAAATAAAATTTAAAACTAAACCTTAAATAGGTAAATACCTAGTCACATTCCCATACACGAAAATTTGAACATGAATTATTTGAAAATTGAATAAAGTAATTAGTAGAGATTCAAAAGATTTAATCCTGAATTTGCATTTTTGATATAATTTTTTATAAGCTCTATATAATAGGCATCAATGGTTCTTTATTTTTTAGTTTATTACTTTATATGAATTTAATTGTTCT